TGGACAATCTTTGGTAACATCTAATTTATTGTTGTCTCACGCCAGAGCTGTGAATAATTCTGTTCATTGAACAATTGGAATTCAGGAAGTTATCAATAATTGTTTTACTTAACATAAGATAAGATTAGTTGTTTACAACATCATATTATGATGTCAGGACGTACTACAGTCAAAACCATATATTTTAAAATCAATTTAATGACAGACTATGATTTCCAAGTCCCGATTAGCAAATCAATGAGGTATCAGTTTCACCACATGTGCACAGACCGCCTATACTTATATGTATATTTTTCATAACTATTCTCCAGTTAAAGTCCTATCCTCTTATCAAAAAATCTGTGAGAGTGATCATCATTAACGAAACTCATTCTCATCAAAGAATACAGAACAAATGAAGAATCAGATGCATACATTTATTGCCATGCTTCATTTATCACGAAGTAGATTTACATACATTGGTGAATGGCACTTAAACTGTGATAATGAATTTTACCATTGTCCATATTACATTATAAATATTAACCATAATATGGATTTCCGAATATAAAAACGACTCCAAACGTTGATATTTCAGACAAAAACAAAGTCAGCTGTCTTTTAACGTTCAGGGGAAAAGGGTTTGCTTTCACAATTGAACATTTGTTTTCACCAAAGGACAATCAAATCAAGCCAAAAACAGTAAAAATACACATATATGGTTAGCGACCGTCTTTATACAGCGAGGGGGGAAATTCGTCTGCTCTAACTGCCTTCACAAAAACATTCCAGCCCTTAATTAACGAGGCAGCTGTGACGTAGTAGCATTACATTCGCTGCGTTTGCAGCATATAAGATGTGTAATCTGTGGAGTGACTAAAGTAATATTACGGCTGAAATCTTACTTGCATGGTTGTTTTAATAGAAAACCTACGGTTTAAAAACACAATTTTTCTTATATAATGTTATTAGGTTTGGTTTATAAATACAAGAGAAGATTTTTTATACATATAAAACTGGTCGAAAAAACAGCTGAACAATAGAAAAAGAAAAATAGGAGTTGTGAATAGTGACAAATTTGAATTACATCACTGTGTCAATAATTATTGATTGATTCCTTCAAACAATTGTCAAACCATTTATTGCCATGTACGTACATGTACACAGGAAGTCGGCGCTGTCGGAGGCTCCAGGTAAATAAACATCGTGGTTTTATGACGGGAGATCAGACGAACCGTGAACCAGGGGCATGCGACGTAATTACACCTAAAGGTGGTAGAACCAGGGTATTGTCTCTTGGACTGGCTAATTGACCGTACGTATAATTGGTAAATATATTCGTTTTGACACCAGTGTTTCATGCGCATCCCGGCTCATAAGCAGAATACAGACAAATGAGGCCCCGTGATCAGCGGAGCGTGAACAACATGGATGCCGCCTTTCGGCCGTGCCGAACAGTCAAGCTGCGATCTCGGAACTGAATCCAATTGCAAGCGGAGACAAGATTACTTCCCTTACCCAAACATGATCGTTGCTCAGAAATGTTCAAATCTATCTTCAGTAAATCATGAAATTAATGCGAGCATGACATTTATGCGAAAAATGCGACTGTCAGTCCCTCTGATTATTTTAATATGTTTCATTTCATCATGATAAAAAAGTTAGTCACTTATAAGGTTACCACGTTGAAAATTGAAACGATCGTTAACAAAAACAACAAAATGTATTCTCTCATCACTCAGCCTAACAGTGATATAACTGCAAATTAAACAATCAAGTACGCTAAAGTATTACACATGGTGGGTGGAGGACCAGGGGCACTTTGAATTTGACAGGTGTCATCAACTGGTCAAGTAACATCACGGTTTGTATATTCACGTTGATCGGACAGTCTAGACTGGCGCCAACTAATCATGACGGCGTCTTCAGAACAGAACAGAACTTTATTTCTCCCAGGTTTAGGCTTACGTGGATAACGGAAAATTTTGTTTAAGTGATAGCACATTTTTAATTCAATCTAATATACTTTCCTTGATTGATTATATGGCTGCGGTCGTAGATCCGGATGTATCTAAATATGCTCAGTATATACACAGGGTTTATTGTTATACTATTAGGATTAATAGATACAATTGAGTATTTATACCCTTGATCATAAAGTTAGTCACCACTTTCACACTTTGTTTTGTATGATTTGGGTTATGATTAAATTGACAAAATAAGAAATCATTCCGTGTATATGTGTATTATATATTGTACCCCAATACATAATTAAATTGTGTATAAATAAGGACACTAGGTTTATTACTGTAATTGATTATTTGATAAACATATTCACATTTAGTTGTGTGATATGTCACAGAGGTAAAGCTAATTCATAACAACTAATTGTCCCATTTATTTGGTTTCTATCTTTTATATGAAACAAATGCTATAACATGGGGTGATAAACTTCATTGGCAATAGACGTAGTATATAATTGTCCACATGAACAGTCTACTCTGTTCCAGATATGTTTATTCATTTTGTCAGCATTTAAATCGTTGCATTCCTGGCTAGATGATTCATTTGACGAAATCTTGTTCCCTGTTTTGAATTACCGTCAGATAGTTCCAGAACAATTATAAAATTTTCAGCCCTATGTGTTGCGCATAATTCCGAGATAATTCGAAGTTCATATTCTTGTACAAACACTTATCAAAATTCATTTATACCTAGTACTATTATGTACATATGTATATTAGTTCAAATTATAATAATGAGGCCCTCTATATTCTCGAAACGGTCTTTGTTCTACGACAACCGTAAGGCGGTATGGGAAAACAAAATATTTGTTTAATTGTTCAAAGTTCAAAGTCAATGTCATATAATTATAGACAAGGAAGATAAGAAATTAAATATAAAGAGTAGCCACTTTAAATGACAGAATTTCTTTTAGTTAAATTTGCTCATGATTTGGTCTTTTCGTGGTACATAGTGCCAAAATACTCTTAATTATTTACTTTCATGTCATTACTAATCTCACAAAAGGTCAAAAGTTGTACAACTTTTAACAGATATGATTATGATATGTTGTATCCAAACATTTCCAAACATTTCCAAACAAATCCAAACAAATCCAAGCTTGGAAATATGACCTTTCCAAATATTGGAATGGTCATATTTCCAATTGGAATGGTGGTATTTCCAAGTTTTGGATTTTTTTGAATGGATGATATTTTGTCCAGTGCTTCTCTTTTCTGCAAGGTAAGACGCTATTGACTTAACTATGAACTTATTCTGTCAGCTACGATCTTAATACGTTAGGTGTAGGTTAGATGTATTTCGACTATATCGTAGCGTTGTGAAAATTATCACTGACTTAATATCCAGACAATACTGCCTCTCGCGAACGTATATTTTTGTATATTAGCAAACTAGTTGCACGGCAACATCCCAACATGAGTATGTGTACCAATGTCAATATCTTGTACGTTCCTACATTCAATGACACATACTTATAACAATGATTTGCCTTCAACTTAGTAGCAATGAAAACTAAGACGGCCAACATTATATCATATTGTCTGTTATAACAGTATGTTGTTAAATATCCACGCATGCCAGCGTGAGACCGTGTATTGTTTTCTCCTAGACATATTTTCTCGTAATAAATGCCTTTCAATAACCTTAAAATACAATATATTGTACATCTATACAGTCATGTCAGTATCTGTTGTATGCCGATTATATTGTTATGACCATACTTGTTGTACCATTATCCAATTAGTATAATCATATGTATACGATTATATGAATGTGACTACCTCTTAACACGTGTTGCACACGTATCATATTATCTTGTCATAATATTAAATGTACTTCACTCTACTTCCAGCGAATAAACGCCATCAACTCAGCAGCCTTCTCTGTCCTTCAAGGTGACAGCCAGTCGTGACCGCTCTACTACCGCTAGTTCCCCCAATTAAGTAGCAACACCCAAAGGACGTCTACGTCACCCAAAAGACACGCTACGTCACAACTAAGACCCCTAAGTATTAACTGGACGATTCTCTACAAACACAATCACCATTCCATCCATCACATGTTCGCCAACACTTGGTTTCATCACTATGTGATAGTTCTTCATAAACACATACGTGTGGTATAGTCTGCTGATACATTTCATATCTAACTAGAAAGGGTATGATAGAACGTGTTCATGAATCACTCTCAAATAACCAATTCATCTGCATTTACCTGAACTGATTGAATGACGCATCATGTTACTGGCAACACGCCATCGTCAGTTTATTGTTGGAATTATTGTTTGCACAAAAGCAACGCTCAACAAATCTGTTGTTACTCTCTGTTTAAAGTAATATATGTTGCCATTCGAGATTGAAAGAGGTCCTTACACAATGATGACATTCGAAATTTTGTGTAAAGGTGAGGATGATTCAATGTGCATCCACTGTGAAGAGACACGCCTGTTGTAAAGTATTATCAGTTAGGAATCTGCTGATAATGTTCATTTTAATGTAATCATTTTTTTACAGATAAATTGGATTGTTTAATAACGTGTAAAAGAATAATCAGCCTCGATTACCTGTCGAAACAGATTCCAGGTTGATGACTATTAAGTGAATTCATTTAATTAAAAGGGATGTAACGAAGAATTTAAAAAATATTAGCAGTAATATTTACTGCAGTTTTTTACTCTAGTGGTATTAACTCTAGTATTAACTGTAGAATATTAACTGTAATAGTAAAAGAAATACAAACTGAACTGTTAACTGAAATATTTATAACTGTAGTATATTAACTGAAGTAGTAACTATAGTATTGACTGTGGTATAAGCAGTTATATTAACTACAATATAAACTGTAGCATTAACTTCAGTATCAACCGTAGTATTGACGTAATATCGCCTGTAGCATGTTGGTGTGTGTTATTTGTTCCAACATCCTTGTGGACTGCACAACATATCAAAATCACTCATAAGAAATATGATCTTCGTTCTTAAGGAAAACGTCCTCACCTTTGAGGAGAGGACAGAAGTTCCACAGCTGGACCGCCCCTTTCCCTGAGAACTGCCCCAGCGCTGCTTCAAGGTAGAACATCGGGAGACCCGTGATGACGAGGAATGTTACGAACGGAATCAGGAAAGCACCTGTTCAGAGAAATATGATAAATATGAACAGACACAAGCCATTGTGAATTGATACAAATTACACGAGAGAGTAAAGAATGTTACCTGGTCCACAGTAATTGATGAACACACATTGGCTACTTGCCGGGCAGTTGCCCAGCTTGCAATCGTCCAAGGGCGTGGTGTCGCTGATTTCATGTGAATCTTGGTATGTGGTAGCAATTCAATAACGAATGAATGTTATCCGATCTGGTAGGATTTATATAGGGCAAGAAATGGGGGAACGCCTGTGCATTTCAATTTGCACGGAACTCACGTGCATCGGGTTACCATGGCCAGATATGTATATTTATCATATAACGGGTAGGTTTCTCGGCAGGATAAAGCCAACGGATAAAAACGATATCCGTTGGGGTCATATGCGGATAGAGATGCAAATATCAAAGGTCAAGTAGGGACTACTTTCACTGTTTATAAACAAACATGGCGTCGCCCTCGTCATTCGGGGATCGAGTCAGAGTTAACCATCGGCAATCTGGATAAACTACAGGGATAATTGCTATCATTATCAAAAGAACAGTCTAAAATCCGTGTCTAGCTGTGACGTAGATAAGGCATTTTATAAGTTTGGGCAACTTTGGAGTTATAAATTTCGAAACAATTTTGCGAGGGCACGAGGCCTAGCCAAGCGGGATCAGTAGCCATATCTGTGCTTGTAGACCTCTGCGACTTGAAACCTTCACCACAAATTCAAATAGTTGGATTTGGCCGAAATATATGTGAATTGTTACCTTGTTGCGTTTTGTCGCTGTGTGTACATCTGACTACACTTCTTATGTTATGACAGGACAGACCGACTGTCAACAAGGTCTGACCGTGGCCGTGACGTCTCAGAGACTAGAGTTAGAGTAGCTTCCCTTGGACAAAGGGCAGTTACTCTAGCGAACAGACCGCTGGATTGCCGCAAAAGGCAATTAAAAACAATTGTTGTTTTGCGTTTATGTTGCTTCGCCACTGTATAAGAAATAGATTTCAGTTGGAACTATATTGGCTACTGTCACTGTCCGACTGACACGTCACTTACCCTCTGACGTAATAAATATTAATGCGCGCATTGCAGGAAAACTCGCAATGTTTCGATTATGTTTGTGAGAGAGGGAAAGCGATTTTTAAGCACAGAACTAAAGAATGACATTATATGATAAAGAGGTTATCACGCTTGTGTGTTTGGGGATGGTAAATATCCTGTATTAGGAATAAACACTATGTATTTAGCTCGCCAAGGCTCGCTAAATACAATGTTTATTCCTAATGCAGGATATTTACCATCCCCAAACACACTCGCGTGATAACCTCTATGACAACTTTTCATGCAATGTTACTTGGGATGACACATGTACATGAACACACATCTTCATAAATACACTCTACATGAACACACATTATTATAAATACACTCTACATGAACACACATTATCATAAATACACAGCCATTATCATAAATCAACAAAGACCGGATTTACATGAACACCCATTATTATAAATACACTCTACGTGAACACACATCTTTTTAAATACACATGTACATGAACACCCATTATTATAAATACACATGAATACACATTATCATAAATACACATGTACATGGGAATTCTCGGACATGTACACGGTAACACTGATGTTTTAGTTCTAGATGCAGAACAAAACGTTCTGGTATGGCAAATTCTGCCTAGAAATAAAGTAAAACATTTTCAATTAACAGGTATAAACATTTGCTTTACATATGATGGCATTGATTTTAGTCAGTACAGGCATACATATTACTACATTGATGCATATATAGTCATGATGACCCTCAAGATGGTTACAATAACACGGTATAGTTAAGGGGTCGGTATGCACTACTCCCATACGGATTTGCCCTAAGCAAAATGCAGCATGTCGTAAACTAGAAATTATTTTATATAAAACTATATGTCTGACGATTGGATTTTCAGTATGTGCGTCCACTCGTCATATCGGCGATAGATTGATTGACTAACACAATGTCTTCTTTGAGTGGCATTTAGAAGTTGGTGTGATGAAGTAAGACGAGTTCTATGGATGAACAACTTCTTTATTACAATTAGTGCGACGTTTCGGTGGAGATCCCAACACCTTTATCAATATCACTTGCTTGATAAAGGTGTTAGGATCTACACCGACACGTCGCACTAATTGTAATAAAGAAGTTGTTCATCCATAGAACTCGTCTTACTTCATGACACAATGTCGTTACAACCTTCACATACAGGACAGTTCGTGTTTAGCAGCGATTACAAAATCACACAGGAAGACATCCCCTTAACGCACTGACCAACATCCACTTCCGTATTTTCATATACCTATACACCTATACACCTATACACCTATACACCTATACACCTATATACCTATACACCTATACACCTATACACCTATATACCTATACACCTATATACCTATACACCTATACACCTATACACCTATACACCTATACACCTATATACCTATACACCTATACACCTATATATACCTATACACCTATATACCTATATACCTATATACCTATACACCTATACACCTATACACCTATATACCTATACACCTATACACCTATATATACCTATACACCTATACACCTATATATACCTATACACCTATATACCTATATACCTATATACCTATATACCTATACACCTATACACCTATATACCTATACACCTATACACCTATATATACCTATACACCTATACACCTATATACATATACACCTATACACCTATACACCTATATACCTATACACCTATACACCTATATATACCTATACACCTATATACCTATATACCTATATACCTATACACCTATACACCTATACACCTATATACCTATACACCTATACACCTATACACCTATATACCTATACACCTATATACCTATATATACCTATACACCTATATACCTATACACCTATACACCTATACACCTATACACCTATACATCTATACACCTATACACCTATATACCTATACACCTATACACCTATACACCTATATACCTATACACCTATACACCTATATACCTATACACCTATACACCTATATACCTATACACCTATACACCTATACACCTAAACACCTATATACCTATACTCCTATACACCTATATACCTATACACCTATACATCTATACACCTCTACACATGTACACTTATACACCTATATACCTATACACCTATACACCTATACACCTATACACCTATACACCTATATACCTATACACCTATATACCTATACACCTATACACCTATATACCTATACACCTATATATATATACACCTATATACCTATACACCTATACACCTATACACGTGTACACTTATACACCTATACACCTATACACCTATATACCTATACACCTATACACCTATACACCTATACACCTATATACCTATACACGTGTACACTTATACACCTATACACCTATACACCTATACACGTGTACACTTATACACCTATACACCTATACACTTATACACCTATACACCTATATACGTATACACCTATACACCTATACACCTATACACCTATACACCTATACACCTATACACCTATACACGTGTACACTTATACACCTATACACCTATACACCTATACACGTGTACACTTATACACCTATATACCTATACACCTATACACCTATACACCTATACACCTATATACCTATACACCTATACACCTATACACCTATATACCTATACACATGTACACTTATACACCTATATACCTATACTCCTATACACCTATATACCTATATACCTATACACCTATACACCTATACACCTATACACCTATATACCTATACACCTATACACCTATATACCTATACACCTATACACCTATACACCTATACACATGTACACTTATACACCTATACACCTATATACCTATACACCTATACACCTATACACCTATACACCTATACAACTATACATATGTACACTTATACACTTATACACCTATACACCTATATACCTATACACCTATATACATATACACCTATATACCTATACACCTATACACCTATACACCTATACACCTATACACATGTACACCTATACACCTATACACCTATACACCTATATACCTATACACCTATATAGATATACACCTATATACCTATGCACCTATACACATATACACCTATACACCTATACACCTATACACCTATACACCAATATACCTATACACCTATACACCTATACAGCTATACACCTATATACCCATACACCTATACACCTATACACCTATACACCTATACACCTCTACACATGTACACTTATAGACCTATACACCTATACACCTATATACCTATATATACCTATACACCTATATACCTATATATACCTATACACCTATACACCTATACATCTATACACCTATATACCTATACACCTATACACCTATACACATGTACACTTATACACCTATATACCTATACACCTATATACCTATACACCTATACACCTTTACACCTATACACCTATACACCTATACACCTATACACATGTCGACATATAGTCCGAGAGAAACTAATGGTCGGTCCCACATACAGTTGGTATGCACGTACCTCCACCTATACACCTATACACATGTACACTTATAATCCGAGAGAAACTAATGGTCGGTCCCACATACAGTTGGTATGCACGTACCTCCACCTATACACCTATACACATGTCGACATATAGTCCGAGAGAAACTAATGGTCGGTCCCACATACAAATGGTATGCACGTACCTCCACCTATACACCTATACACATGTCGACATATAGTCCGAGAGATACTAATGGTCGGTCCCACATACAAGTGGTATGCACGTACCTCCACCATTCCTGTTGCAGATGTAAGGGAATCTCCATAAATTCCCAAAACCAACACAGTAGCCTATCATGGACATAATATAGTCCAGTCGGGTTGACCACTGATCCCTGGAAGATTTAGGTGCAGGTGGAGTTCGGTCCATCTCTGTGCATCCATCCGAACAGGCACCCACAGATTCAAGAGCGATTGCTCTGGTCAGTTCCTCAAGTTGCTCCGAGGCCATCGCGGACAGTCGTTACCTACACAATCAAAGAAATACGAGCTGATAATATATTCCATTTTCTGAAGAGATTACTTATGTGTATTTGATAATATATATGCATACACAATTAGTTGTCAATTATCTTGTACAATCACAGCTTGTACACTATACAACCTTAATATTAACGATTATAGCTATCTTTCCATATCTTTGATTTGAATATTTTCTGTAAATCAGCATCATAAACAAAAAGACAATCTGCACTGTCGTTTCGTCTCTAGCGCCGTGCTGAATCGCCATGACACACAGTCGATAAACATATGCAATACTTGAACAAAAACTTCCGTGGCCGACTAAATGCTAGTACTCTTACGCCAATAACTGTACAGTGGGGACAAGTAAATCGTTCTAACCAGTCCGATCAGATTTCTTTTTCCAATTGGCTGTCTGATATAATAATAGTTACGTGTATGTAAACATACATGGATGTTACCGGAATTTCTTCAAGATATACATTCCAAACTGTCATACGTATTGCGACATAATCTTTGAAACAACCTGCATATGAACTAATCACGACCCCTTCCGTCAATTATGTTTTGACGTCAAAAACACGGACAATTTCGTCGGGATTTTTTATCGGTAAATATAAGGAAGGAAAAATAAATCGAAATCGAACTTAACACCACAGCGTATCCATAAGCGATTAACCTAAATTCAAAAGGTATTGCTGGCATCATTGTAGAAGTTATGTTGATGTTTTCAGTAGTTGCATTATGTTTGTATCGCGTGTACCATCGACAGAAACGGGGGCCGAGCTACCACATGTGGAACCGACCTGGACACAATTTGTTTACAATATGGCGTCAACTCACGTTAGATGTCGTGGCCACACTTTTGAAAGCTCCTTTTGCGACAAAATGTGAAACAGTTTGGGCAAGTCACTCACACGGTCAGGTTGTTTGAGCAATCACACATGACTCGTGGCCATTTGATATGAAAACAGTAGCAGTTATTTGTCTGAACGGGCGAGTATGTAGGACAACCGGTAAACAAGAAATCGCGGCACTGCTATGATGCGAACGTGCCCTGTTGATCACTTCGGGCTTGGCCATTCAATGTTTAGGTTTTGATCATGAACTTCCTGCCCATAAATATACACTATACAACCTTAATATTAACGATTATAGCTATCTTTCCATATCTTTGATTTGAATATTTTCTGTAAATCAGCATCATAAACAAAAAGACAATCTGCACTGTCGTTTCGTCTCTAGCGCCGTGCTGAATCGCCATGACACACAGTCGATAAACATATGCAATACTTGAACAAAAACTTCCGTGGCCGACTAAATGTTAGTACTCTTACGCCAATAACTGTACAGTGGGGACAAGTAAATCGTTCTAACCAGTCCGATCAGATTTCTTTTTCCAATTGGCTGTCTGATATAATAATAGTTACGTGTATGTAAACATACATGGATGTTACCGGAATGTCTTCAAGATATACATTCCAAACTGTCATACGTATTGCGACATAATCTTTGAAACAACCTGCATATGAACTAATCACGACCCCTTCCGTCAATTATGTTTTGACGTCAAAAACACGGACAATTTCGTCGGGATTTTTTATCGGTAAATATAACTCACGGAAAATTCTCAGTGAATATAAATGTTATATGTCTGTCACCGTTAGGACATGTACTTGCCAAGATATGAATTATAGGACATTTAGATTTCAAACAAAGGCGCTAACTTGACTTTACTTGACATATTCGGGTACTTCCATATTACGATTAATGTAGAAAAGTAGGAAACTTATAATACAAGCACTTTAATCGAGGGCTAGGCAGTGCATAGATATTTTGGATTTGGTGACTTCAAATACGGATGGAAAGACAATCAACTCGAGTTGCATGTTATACAATTTGGTTACACTGTGTGAAGAAATAAGAACGTTGTAACACTTTTGATACAATGTATATGTTTTTGAAACCGCGACGTCATCACAGTGCGGCAGTAAGGCACCATGACGTCCAGGCACCATGAGGGTTAACGCCACTTTTAGCAATAGTCCATCAATAAGACACTTGACATACAGTGAACCCATGAGGAAAATGGTGACGAGCGAAAGCATTAACAACGCGGGTAGAATAAACCCGGTGTAGAAGGATCAGGTCACTTCTCCTTATTGTATGAAAACAATGTATGGTAAGTTAAAGGCGACGTACCTCTGTCTTGCCAGTATGCTACTATGAATAATAAAGGTTATAAAACATGTATTCAATTTGCCATGAACTCCCATTTTGCCATAATACTTTTTATGTACTTTTTATGTAGAATTATTTTTCCCTTGATTTATACTCCTCTGCCAGAAGTATGTCAAAGTATATCATTGTATATCATTTTAAGAATTAATGTGTAGAAGTTTCATTTCTGTCACAGAATGTCAACATAACAATATATAATACTTAAAGTTATTAAAATTGCTTTTTAAAAAATCAAAAGTTTTCAACACAAATATATCTGCTCAGCTCAGAGCAATTTGCCTGTGTGTACCTTTACGGAATGTTAAGACTTCTTGTAGTAACGACATGAAATATTTATCGCTTGTGATGGAAAAAAACAATACAGACAAGTGTCTGTACCATTTCTTCTGCATTATATCTCTGATGCAACATCTGATAACAGGCTGCATGGAATTAGAAGTGGTGTAAAGTGCTGTTTTAGCTGCGCCAATAGTGTTGGCTGGTTATTAGCGGTACGGAAGACTCCCGAGTTACCTCCCTTGTCTTCGCTCTTCTCTCTCTCATTATTTTGTACTCGCCTCGTGGTGTTCGGAAATAAAACCTCTCGCAACCGAAAAGCCTCTCCATCTTGTGTCCCAATCGTCAGTGGCCTAAGAGTGTCCGTCAAACCTTACTGGCGTGGTGGCAGCGCTACGGACAAGTTCCCACACCTGACATTCGGTTGGATCGTGCAAAACACTCAAAGTATCACAATCGCTTCACAGCAGACGATCGGTCAGTATTGCTTTTACTGGATAGCACAAGTTACACCCTCATCATGGCTAGTACTGCGAGAGCACCTAAACAGTGGTGTTTAACCAAACACGAGACAGTTAATTCATTTGAGAACTGGCGTCAAAATCTTTTGTATACATTGTCACTAGATCGGAACTTTGCTCCATCCCTAGCGACAGGTGCTACATGGCTCAAGAAAACCGCCCATGCTCCCTTGCGTGGATTTACGGATGATAATGAGGAGGTTCCCGTCGCGTTGCGACGAACAGCTCTACAAAAGGTCAGTGCCCTGGAACTTATGCTTGGACAAGTAGCCAATTATTGCCCCGTTATCTCAAGGAACACTAGTGTGAAGAATTCTACATCCATTGGTCAGATCTGGCAAGTTATCAGACTCCATTATGGATTTCAGTCTACCGGAGCTCACTTCATAGACTTTTCTGACATTAAGCTTGACCCTGAGGAACGCCCAGAAGATTGATATCAGCGCCTCATGGCCTTTATTGAGGACAATCTCCTTCGTCGGGAGGGTGCTATTACCCACCATGGAGTGATAATCAACGAGGACGAGGAACTTTCTCCCACTTTAGAGAACTTTGTTATACTCACATGGCTACGATTGATTCACCCTGAATTGCCAAGACTGGTCAAGCAAAGATATTGAACCGAACTACGCTCACGGACCTTAGCTTCCATCAAACCGGAAGTCTCACAGGCGCTTTCATCTCTCCTAGATGAAATACGGACAGGGGATGACGTGAAGATTATGATTATGAGTCTACCGGAGCTCACTTCATAGACTTTTCTGACATTAAGCTTGACCCTGAGGAACGCCCAGAAGATTTATATCAGCGCCTCATGGCCTTTATTGAGGACAATCTCTTGCGTTGGGAGGGTGCTATTACGCACCATGGAGTGATAATCAACGAGGACGAGGAACTTTCTCCCACTTTAGAGAACTTTGTTATACTCACATGGCTACGATTGATTCACCCTGAATTGCCAAGACTGGTCAAGCAAAGATATTGAACCGAACTACGCTCACGGACCTTAGCTTCCATCAAACCGGAAGTCTCACAGGCGCTTTCATCTCTCCTAGATGAAATACGGACAGGGGATGACGTGAAGATTATGAGGGCTGCAGCGTCCTCAGATGGCAACCGAAGATCTCCATTTACCAACAGACCTCCAAAGACCTCCCCCCAACGCCCAAACAAGATGTGCCCTCTGTGCAGCCAAGCTGGTCGTTCAGACATACGCCACTTCCTCAGTGTGTGTTCACACCTGCCAGAACGGGACAGGAAATACATGACGAAGGCTAGACAGATATCGCACATTTTAGACATAAACGACAATGACAATGAGGAGACAGAGGATGTTTTCACCATCGAGCCCCCAACATCATCTAAGTCTAACCTCTCAGCACTTAGGATCCAGGTCCGCCAATCTCCATATATTGATGTTTTCCACCATCATCATGGTGTCCGCCTCACACTCGACTCTGGAGCAACCGGCAACATGATTCGCCTGTCAGCCGCAATACGTCTAGATGCTAAGATTACCAAGTCATCACAGTCAGCCCATCAAGCAGATGGATCCTCGCCCCTAGAAGTCGTTGGAGAGACCTGCATGACATTTGCGCGCGATGACAAACAGTTTTTGTTCGAAGGCTTGGTGGTTAAGGACCTCGATGTCGATGTCATTGCAGGAACCCCCTTCCTTGAGTGCAATGATGTCTACACTCGACCAGCTAAACGACAAGTGCACGTCGGTGACAATGCTACATATACTTATGGCTCTACCGACGAACCGACCACTCGTCACACTGTGCGGCGTGCAAGCCTTATACGAGCTCCCCATGTTGCTACAGTATAGCCTGGTGAATATCTGGAGGTCAGCCTTCCCGACGACATGTACTCTCAAGATGGAACCGTGGCAGTTGAGCCACGTATCGACTCTAGACAAGTGACTACAAAAGACGACTACATGTGGCCTCCACCTAGCCTCTTAA